ACTAATTAAAAAAATAAAATTAAAAAGTAATCTAAACCTTCTTTTAAGATGACTTTAATTAAGTATTCATCAGTGTTGTAAAAAGCAGGCCTAGGCATCACTTACACTCTAGGTAGTGTCATTCTACTTGCATTAGCCTTTATGTAAAAATTCAATGCGGTTTGTACCAACCAGATCAATTAAACACTCCTAGGTACTATTAGATGCATTGAATAGTATTGTAATTATAATTTTGATGATTACAAAACATATTTGAGTAACTAATTTGTTCATTTAAGTGTATAGGTGAGTTTTTAAAAAATTACAAAATTAAATAAACTTGGATTGCACTAAAAATAGGAGCAAAAAGACGAAAAAATGTGCAAAGAGTCAGCTTTAGAAATCTACAGTCGATTCTAGTGAAGGCAAGTGCAAAGAGCCATCCTTACAGCTGCAGTCTGCTCTACGGGAAAAAAAATTCAAGACCACAAGTTGGCATGCACAGAAAATGGACGCAAAGCCGATTTTAACTTTATAGCCAACTATGAAAATGCATTTAATGCACAACGGTCAAGTTATTTAAAGATTTTTTAATCTTTTTAAAGTCAGACTTTCAAAGTCGGCTTTACGTTTTTATGGTCAGTTTTTAAGAAAAACAGAATGTGCAGGAAGGCTGCAAAGCCAGCTCTAGAATTCAAAGTCGGCTCTCCAAAGCCAGATTTGGAGTTAAAGCCGTCTTTATTGACAAATTTGCAATACAAACTTGATCTGCAAAGCATTTAATGACCTACAATGGTTAGAAATGGCTATTTTCGAGTAAAAGGCTATAAATATAGTTGGTGAAATATCTAGAACAAGTTTTAGAGTACTGTATTGAATATCTTTACTTATCAACTTGTACTTTAACTTGAGTTTTTTTATCTTTGAGTGATCTTTGCTTGTAATCCTCTTCTTATTCTACTTGTGTGTTATCTTGAGGGTGTAATTATTCCTTCAAGAGTGATTTATAAAAGGGATTCTTGGGGTTTAACTTGTAAAGGGGTGAGATTTGAGAAAAATACCCTTTTTTTTTTGTAAAAGGATTGAGTGGCTCTTTTAAGCTACCATTGTTTTCCTTAGTAAAGAATGAACGAAATCCTTAGTGAACGAAGTCCAGATAGAGGATTAGGCTTCAAGTGGTTGGATCGAATCTCTATAAAATCATTATACAAGCTCTTCTTTCCTACTCTTTCTTTAATTGTTTTTTGGTAGTTGCAAAGAGGTGATAATTTTTCAACCTCAATTCACCTTCCCTCTTGAAGTGCATTGAGCCAACAAATGGCACCTAAAGTGCTTGAGCAATTTTTTTAGTAATTTTTCAGCCTACTGAAATAATGCCTAGTAATTTATTATAAAAATC